GCAGACGTGCTGCCCGGTGCAGACCCACCACAGCCACGCAGCAGCGTTCTGACCCAGCCACAGGTCCTGGAAATTCATCCGGCTGCAAATTCACCTCGTCCCCCAACTCTCCTCTGTTTCACTACTGTAATATTTTAACTCATCTGCTTCCCAGCACCATAATGCAAATAAAAAGTCCCAAAGGAGGCCAGTAAAGCAACCCACACCCAAACTTAAATGTTCAACCTGCTTCTTGTCTTGTTCTGTTTTTTAAAAAAAAAAACCAAACCCCAAAAGTGCTGGCATTTCTCCCGACCTCCCATGGCCCTGGGCCACTAAAAGTCACTGTGGAAAACGCACAAACGAGAGAGCACAGACACGGTGCCACTGCCACCGTGCCACAGTCCCCTGTCCCAGCACAGCGAGCCAGCCAGACGTGGGCAGAAGCCGCGGCAGGTGGTTCAGTTCAGAGGTACCTCAGGAAAAACAGAAATCTGGGGAATCCCGGCAGGGAGTCCTTCGTTACTGTCCATCTTCTTGGCACAGCCTCTGCGGAGGGATTCCCCAAGGCACTGCAGCACAGTAGTGCAGAGAGAACAGGCGGGAGATGGCTGAAATGGGGGTGGCAGAACTGGGAGGTCCCTCCGGAAGGTCACTGTGCGTGGAAGTAGATAGGCTTGACTTTTCCAGACAGGATCTTGGGAACCTGCACAGAGATGATCTCGGCCATCATTTCGGGGTAGTCCACGCTCACCATATGCGCCTTAATTAAAAGGTCAAATGTAAACTGATGCAGATCCTTGGCAATCTGGGAAAGGAAGAGAGTTTGGTAAGCGAGAAGCCCCAGGTCAGCGATGTCTCTGTGGAGACAGCGAGCCGACGTTAGCGGGGGAAGCAGGTCAGGGCTGGACCTCGCTGCAGTGGGACCTGCTCTGCTCCCTGGCCATCGCTGACAGCAGGTTTGCATCCCGGGGCTGAGCGAGGGATCTCCCCAGCCTGGGAGCATGTGGTATATTTTTCCATGGTCCTTCACACTCAGGCATTACTGAGTCCCACAAAACTGGGGATGTATAAAAATGGCATTTTCTTACTCCTACAGAGACTTGTCGTACTGTGTGCGGGTGCTGCTGACTTCACTTATTAACAATTACTTTTTGCTCATAGACATGGAACCATGGGCATGGAGCTGAGCCCCAGGAAAGAGGAAAGGTCTAGCTCACGTTTCACCAGAACAACTTGAAGTCACAAACAGAGCACTTGTTTTTGCTGCTGCAATCAGAGAAGATTCATTGGGGGCACTGAGATTTTGAGCTGTTCTGCTAGGCTGGTGATGGAAAAGTATCATCTACAACGAGCTTTTCGGTGCTAAAAAAGGAAGCCCGTACACCAAGCACGAGTGGTTACTGCAGGGAGTGATGGACACAGGTAGCTCTCACTCCCTCAGCACTCAGTGCCTGTCTCTTCTCTGTCGCCTAATCTGGGAGGACACAGCAATAGTGTCCCTGCAAAGGTGTGTGTGCCAAGAGTTAAAAAACAAACCACAAAGAATCACAGAATCATTGAACAGCCCAGGCTGGAAGGGACCTCGAAAGGTCACCTGCTCCAACCTTCCCTGGGAAAGGGAGTTTCTCTCTCATATCATTTCTTACGTGTACAGACAGACATTGCACTGTGCTCTCTTACAGGATGCACGGAGTCCAGGACCTTGGTGAGCTGGTAAAATCGCCGAGAGCAGGAGGTGGGGTTCTTCCTCTTGCAAGCGATGATACGATCAAGCTCCTTAATGTAATTCATTCGAAGTTCATCAAAGAGCTTCTGGTTCTTCAGGCCATCCACTGGAACTGGACAGAACACAGGAAGGAAACAGTGAGAGTTGCCCAGAGAGTGGAGAGAATAAAATAGCCAGAGTAAGGCTGAAGAAACGGTCAGAGGAGACCTAAGAGGAGAAATCTGCCCAAGAGCTCTGCTTCTGCTGCAACCCTCACTCTGATCAGCTGGTTGGACTCTGCTAACCCAAGGCCCCTGGTTCAGCACTCACTAAAAAGAGGTGAGGTCACACATTCTGAGCAGCTGATGCTCGGAGGTGCCCATGACTACCCACGAGGCTGAGGAGCAACCTCCTGTGGGAGCTGCAGGGAAGAAATGCCCAGAGGTGGGGTGGGTGGCTGGGGGGAAACCCTTACACTTGGCAGCTCGTATTCTCTGAGCAGCTCAGATTGAAGCAGAGCAGAGAACATCCAAAGCCATCCTTTGGGACCTATGAGCACTTGCACATGCACTGAGAAAGCAGCAGATACCTCTGGGGCAATACAGCGTATCCACCGGGGATCTGCTGAGGAAGGGATGTCAGCACTTACTAATACTGAAGAAGAGGAGAGCCTTCATACAGAGAAACTCCTGGGGCGTGATCTGGAGCCAGCCAAACTCCTGGGAGAGGTGCCGCATCCTGACACATTGGCTGTACATCCTGGATTTGTGCATCCGGTACCTGGCAGGGCAAGAGACCAAAGCCAAGCCCGCGTGATGTGCGGGGCAGGACGCGCTCTGCCCGACCCTGCACGCCCAGCCTCGCCTGCCACCGCCCCGCTGCCAAGAGCTGAGCTCTGCCTCGGGGGACGCAACGGCCCCGCGTGCAGGAGGAACCTTTTCCAAAGTGCCCGTGTGTCACCCTCTGCGTCTGGGAACGGGTGGCTACCTGGGATTTGCAGGGTTCGTCTGACCCTCTGCCTTCCTGAAAAACAACCGCAATGATCCACCAAATGCGGCTGCCGGCGAGGGACGTGAGGCTGAGCTGGAGCTCTCGCAGAGAGGGTGGGGTTATCATGGAATCATAGAATCATAGAATGGTTTGGGTGGGAAGGGACCTTAAAGCTCATCCAGTCCCAACCCCCCTGCCATCAGCAGGGACACCTTCCACTAGACCAGGTTGCTCAAAGCCTCATCCAACCTGGCCACAAACACTTCCAGGGAGGAGCAGCCACAACTTCCTTGGGTAACCTGGGCTAGTGTCTCACCACCCTCACAGTGAAGAACTTCTTCCTAATATCTAATCTAAACCTCCCCTCTTTCAGCTTAAACCCATTGCTGCTGTGCTTTGTTACTCTTTTTAAGCTCCTCTGCCTTATTGTCAACAAACCCTCCCCAACTCCAAGCTGATGGTACATCAGAGAGAACCCCTCAGGAACTTACAATAAGCCTTTGTTTCTGTTTCTACTCGCTCCAGCTGACCAACCAAGCTGAAAGCAGGAACTCACATCCCTCAGAAAACAGCAGGTCTGTCTGGACCAGCCCTGCACACCCAGCACCAGCACCTGCGGCTGCCCTGGTGGAAGCTGAACCCATGGCAAGGTTGAGGGAAAGGGAAGGAGGACTATTGTGAGTCTCCTTATTGCTCTGGAGATCACTGCAGGGCAAAAGCAGGGCCCTCCCATGCTTTGCTGGCCAGCTCTGCAAGCACGATCACTCACGCTGGACATTTCACGAGCAGATGGGAAAGCAAATTCCTTGTCTCGTTCTCATTTCTCACCTAGTCTGACCCAGACAAAGCACAATATTAGATTGTTGTTGTTTTGCACTTACTCATTGAAGACCAAATCTGGAGCAAAGTAAAGCATCCTGGAGTTGACGTTGGTGAAAGATCTCCAACCCATAGCAAACACCATAAGGCCCATCCAAGAGTACTGGATTATTGACATCTGGTCATCCACATGCAGGTTGCGAAATCCTATTAAAAAATGAGAGAGGGATGTTACAAATTAATACTGGGTCCCTGCAGTTCCCAGGACTGTTCTCACGCAGCTCTCCTGTTATGACAAGGTGATCCACAGCCCAAGGCAGAGCGTCCCAGGACACGCGGATGCAGCCGGGCAAGACAACCCCAGTGTCAGCAGCTGGGTGCTCCTGCCCTGATGGGCATCGCAAACAGCCACGGCACAAAACCACCATGGCAAGGGGAGAAAGGGGATCCCCGGGGGATAAAGAAAATCAGCAAAGCGTTTGACAGGAAGGCTGTGACAAGTGGTGGGATTCCATGATCTTAAAGGTCTTTTCCAATCAAAAGAATTCTGTGGTTCCATAAATGACATCTTCCCCCTGTGAGCCTCAAAGATCTTCACAAATTGTGTTTCAGGTTTTGCAAGACCCAGAGAGGTGAACAAGCACCATTCTGCAGCAGGCTGGACACAAAAGACACGGCAGGATGGGATTCACGGCAGGATGGGATTCAAGGCAGGATGGGATTCAAGGCAGGATGGGATTCAGTGAGCTCCTGAAGTCCCACGCTGGAGCCACCTCTGCCAGCCGAGGACTGGCTTCAAACCGCCCAGCATCAGCTCTTCCACACACTTGTCAAAGCACTTGTTGCTCCTCCTCTGCCATGAGGCAGCTTTGGGTGCACTCGTTCATTACCTTGTAATTATGTTCAGTTGAAAAAAATATATATTTGTGCAAACTTCATCAGTGTTTAAGGAAAGGTATTGGAACACAACAGGTTTGTTGTTACACGACTTAAAGTTTGCTTTCTGCTTGTCCACAAAAACAAACTCTAGAAACACAGTGGCTGCCTTTTCTAAAAGCAGTCGCTGCTCCCAGTGTCTGCCCTGAAAGGCCTTGAAACAAACCTGATTTTCAGAAACTAGATACCCATCATGTCCTGGAAGCCTCCCTGCTCCAGGCATCTTAGATGATGTAAAATCACTATAAAAGAAAATAAATACAAACCTAATGCCACAATATATTGCTAAATGTTTAGTCGTGGCGTAGTTTGAAGAGACCCAAATGAAGATACTTTCTACAGAAATAAATTTACTGATGACTTGAAAGAGATCGATGCATGACCTTTTTCTTGTGAATAATCTTAAAGCAGCACTGTTTGGAAATAAAATTCTCTTCTCTCGGGATCACTGCTGTGCCAGAATGGGATCTTCCTAAAGATGAGCAGCTGAACACCTCATGATGCCATAAAGCAACGGAGCAGTTGCTGG